GGTATGATAAATCTTTTTCTAAACATGCTGCATCAATAAAAACTTCAGTGCAATTTGCACAGAAATGAAAATGAATGTGAACAATATGATTAGGCAAAGAACCAAGCAGGCTTTCCTATTCTGTGGTGCTACAAATACAGTTGTTTCAAACAGTAGTTTCAAAATGGTAACATACAGCATAATTTAAAAAAAAAAAAGTTCTCTTACCAGTAGGTGAAACAAAGTGATTAGTAGTTTTATTTGGGATATTTTTACTTGCAATTTGACACATAAAGTCAGCATTTTCCCTTTCAGCAATCTGAGAGTGACACATGAAGCTATGCAGTCTCATGTGGCTCTCCAGAACTATCACCAGTACCTCTATCACCAATATTTATTTATATTTTTATATAGAAATACAACTATGGTAAGCACTGTAGACATACACATAATGTACAAAGAAAAGATTTCTTTCTGACATATACTGTATATTTTTGAAAGCCTAGAGAATCAGCTATGAAGTGAGCAATAAAAGACACTGCAATTACTACAGCTGCAGTCAAACAACGACTCTTCTTTCTATGCAGATGAACAGAAGACATGAGTTTCCTTACCTATTTTTATACTTATGCATCATACAACTGTGAGGTTGCCATACTTTTTCTCCAAGAAATCTCCCACTGGACAGAAGATACTCACATGTATCGCCACCTTGAAAATGTTATATTACGATTAGAATTCAGCTGCATGAAATGTAAAACATAGCTCCACTGCTACTATAAAAAATAATTTGACAATATTTGAAACACAAGAATTGGAACAATCAATGGCAGTAAACAAATATAACTTATCATAAAAACATCTTGCACAAGTTTCTGCAAGTTGCCTTCTTGTTTATTATACCGCCCTGCTCTGTAAATCACAACTCTCTACCCAAAACGTTAGTGATCCCACTTCTGTTATCAGAAAGATGTTGTGACCTGGAATGGCATTTCCTTTAAAAGATGCCAATTCACTGTGCTATCTACTATCCAGAGTACATTGGAATATGAAATTAAAGAATACAATTGTTCAATATAATAATCTTCTACACAGAATCATCATGCACAGCATCTTGTATAGAACATGAATCTCAACATGAGACTGGGAAGAAAGTTTATTACATCTCCCTGCTTAAGACTTTCCAGTCACCTTAGAACAGGTGAGTTAACCTGCTGGGTTAAAATGCAGAAAAACCCCAAAACATTTACAAAAGAATTTGCCGATCATTAAGGACTTCAGGTACCTTTTCCACTCATTAAGTTTTACAGTAATTAAGATTAATCACTTTACAGGTGATGATGTTTCAGTCATGTTAAGTTCTTATAAATAAAGTTATGTAATCAGTGACTGTTATCTTCCCAACTCCACATCAGAATCTGCTGCCTTATAACTGAATGCAACAGAACACCATTCACTGCAAGAGAAGTTGCCCTCCAACATTTTTGTCATACTTGGCATTTCCGAGCACTGACAACCAGGGAAATGGTGGTGAATGAAATGGTAGGGACTTGTGCTGCTTGTGCAGAAACAATGTACTGCTGCCCCTACTTGACACTTTCTGTGAAACCTTGACTTTATTAAACTCAACTTATATTTTGGCTTTCAAGCAACACGATTTCTCTAATTCTCAAACATGCACACTTATGTAAACTATCATTTTGAGTAAGTTGCAGAATAATGAAACAGTCAGGAATAATAAAAAACCAATCTAATCAAAAGCAACATGACACATTCTCACTGATAATGACAATAGGTGACTCAGAGTTATTACTGCTATGAAGTCCTCCACTTTGCAGATGATGAAAACTAGGAGATGTATCAAAGTGATATGAGTGAACCATATAAAAGAATATCTATCACTAATCAGATTCCCTCTGAAATCCATTAACTTGCTGAAAAAGATGCATAAGAAAATAAGAACAATTATTCATGGTCAGACCAATGGTCAGTCTAGCCTGGTATTCTGCCTTCAACAGGGGCCATAAACAGATGCTCAGAGATGAATAAGAAGAAAGCAAGTAAACATTATGATCTTGTCTAATATTCTTCCAACTATGTTTAGTCCAGGGACTTCCTGAACTGGACATGCAGTCTTCAGCTTTTGGCATCCAGAGCATCCTTCTAAAAGAGTTTTCCATACCCACAGCTGATGCTTGAAGAATCACCTGCCTTTATTTTAAATATGGTTTCTACTACATTTACTTGGCAGTTCCTTGTTCTTCCATAGGAAAAGGCAGTCTGGACTCATGTCTATTATGATCTGTAGACCACTATCAATCCTTCCTCATGTAGGTTTTCAAGACAGGAGAATATCTGTATCTTGAGTTCATGACCCAAGCTTGGTTCCTCAGTACTCCATAATTACCCACAAATGAAACAATCCTCCATCTACAGTATGTTCACTGATGTAACATTCCAAACAGCACACATTGTATACATTTTAAACAGAGAGACAATATTACAGGTCAAGAACTTACACCTTCCCTCCCAACTTCAGGTACTGAATATCTTACTGTTGCACTGAGCAATATAAGAAAGCTCCTGAAACTCGTTAGGAGAGTTACTGATGTCTGAAATCTTCCTTTAAACATAATAGTAGAAGTCATGAGGAGAACATGAGGGAGGGGAATAAAACCAGACTGGAACAGCAGCCAAGAAAGTAAACTGGAGGTTACAGACCAGACAGTTCCTCCAGAAATGCCCAAGTCTGGCTTAGGAAATGAAATATCAGCTGAAGAACAATGCTCATATTAATATACCACACCCTTTTCTTAGCCAGTAACGAGATGTTAAAAGAAAAAAAACCCAAACACAACAACAAAAAAACCCAACCTAAAACCTGAGAAAAAGAATTCTAAGAGCCATTCTATACACAAAACACAGAACATTCTTCTTAAACTCTTCCTTTGTGTAAGTTATCCTTCCAACATATTACCTTTTATGTTGGTATAGCTACACTACGGTATAGTTATACAAAGTGTATAATTTCTCTGAATTTTATTATGCTCATTATTCTAATTTATCATTCCTCAAAATCATGGTTATTCCACCGAAATTGTGAAATCTCTAAGTCTTCATTCAGTCCAGAACAGACTAAGTTTCACAATGCTTTCTCTAAAAGGCACACTCTCTGTTTCGAAAAATTGGAAATTCAATTGTTCTCTATCATTCAAAATAAAAAAAAATGTAGTTTTAAAGAGAATCTACTAGTGCTGCTGGTGACCCCTAAATATAAGTTTCCCTGATCTTCCATAACCCCAGTCCAGCATTTTTTCATACAATTAACTTTAATACAGGCAAGTTTGACTGGGAATTGCACTGAGCTGCTCCTATCTATAATATGTACTTGATAACTGAGGCCAAAATTAGCTGAAACCTTTACATGTAATGACAATCAGACAAAAGAAAAAGTATAAAAGCATGAAAAACACAGCAATCCCTTCCCTGGCATGGCCCAGCTTTCACAGCCTGGCAACTTTGAGCCTGTTTGCAGGCCCACCTCATCCACCCTCTGCAAATCAGGATAACGTTTTTTGGGAGTATTTTTGGTATAAAATCTTGGTACAGAATGTCTTGTGTAGAAAAAAAGTGCTTTCTTCTGATAACTTTAAATATATTGCCTGCTAATTTCATTTTTCAGTTGATACTTTTTGTGTTATGACACAATCACAATGAATTTACCTTTCCCCAATCATTTGTAATATTTGAGACCATTAACAAGTTACTAAGTTTCTGTCCAGGCTACAGAATTTCATTCCATTTCATTACTTCTTACAGAGAAGCTGTTTGATTCTTCTGCTGTTTGTGTTACTCCTTTGTTCATGCTTTTCAAGTTCTATTATACCACTACTAAGAGGAGGTGACCAACACCACTAACAATAAGTGAGGTTCCAGTTAGCTTTAGTTGTGCAGTATCACAGCAAAATCTGCTTTTTTCATTAGTTGCCAGGAGCATTGTGACATTTGCTGGACTTCAGATGTCTGATATCACCGCAGGGTTGCAGAATGATTTCTCAAGCACCTCTGCTTTTATCTATCCTAAAAACTCTTGTCTGCTACAAATCTTCCACCCTCCTTTCCTAAACCACTCATTCTTCTGAATGTTACTTGTTCAAAGAAGCCCAAACTGGTAACTCTCTATTCTCTCTGACTTCTATGTCCTCCTACGTTTTAAACAATTACAGGAAAACCTCTCACCCTCTAATTGCTTCAAAAAACTAAAAGACTTAGGCAAAAAAAACTTGTTGAAAGGTTTGTAACAATCCATACAGACCATATCAACTCACATAAAGTCCAGTAGACTCTCACCATTTTGAATCTGTGACTCACCCCTCTAATTAACTCTCCCAAAATATATTGAAATTATGCATATTTTAGTTTCCCTGTAACCTGCTTGACATGGCAGTCCCTATTTTCTTAGGCTGGTCTTGCCACTCTCCTCCTGTCTAGTTTTGTGACTCTCTTGTGCCTTAAGAACACTGCACAACAGGCAAGTTTAATTACCTCATGCTTGAGCTCCTCTAGAATTTAGTAAATGCTTCTGTGTCTTCCAACTTAACACTAGTCAGTTTATCAGACATATTGACATGCCAGCCAGAGGGTGAACCTGGGGAATTGTATCCATAAAGATCCCTACCCCTATTCCCATTTCCACAGCGAACTGCCTCAGCCTTGCCTTGCATGGATGCTGGCAGCAGGTGTTAGAACCCGACACCATTTGTCCTACAACGAGCAGAGCCGCAGTGATCTCTCTATGGATCAACTTTCTGATTTGCCCACAGAAACACACCACATTTTCTAGCGTGACAAGGAAACAGGAAAATATTTCCTTCAGCATTTCCATTAGCATTTACGGATCACGCCAAGATTCGCTGCTCCGAGGCCGAAACAAGCCCGGAGAAGCGGAGCCGGCGGAGCTCCCAGCGCCCCGTGACCGCGGCGCCCCGTGCACAGGCGGGCACGGGCACGGCCGGTCGGTCCCGGAGCTCGGTCACCGCCTGTTCCACGGCCACTGACAACGCGTGAAACCCAACAGCTCCTCGGCTCGCTTCCCCGCCAGCGCGGCCGGACGCTGTTATGTTCGAGGCGATGGTTCAAGGAGTGAAATCACATACACCAAGTCTCGTACCAATTAAGACTTTAACCACTAATTGCCAAGGTAATTAATCATCCCGTAAGAGAACAAGTGACAGGGAAGAAGCCACCCTCTAGCCCTGCAGCTTCACCTGCCGCAGCCGCGCCCCGGGAGCTGCGCTGCGCTCTCGTGCAAACACCGCATCGCCACGGCCCCGCCAGCCCGGCTCACACCCCCCTCGGCCTCGCCCGGATGGCGGGAACTGCAGTGACCCCCCGGTCGGGCCCGCGGGCCGGGTCCCGCGCTCGTCTCCCGCCGACCTGCCCCGCCGCCCCGGCCCGCCGGGGTAGGGCCGCGCTTGCCACCCCCGCCGGGCCCCCGGCCCGCCACGGCTGCCCCGGGCGGAGGAACCCGCCGCCCTCCCCGCACGGCCGCGGTCCCGGGGCTCCGCCTCCCTGCCCGGCAGCCGCGGCCCCCGCGGCGCGCCCGCGGCCGCCCCCTCACCTCGATAGCGGCGGGAGCGGCGTGGCAGGCGGTGAGGAGCAGGACGGCGCCCAGCGCCAGCGCCTTGGCGCTCCTCACGCTGAAGTAGTAGTTGATCTCCGCTTGCCCCCGGTGTAGGCCAGCGCCGCCATCTTTGGCTCCTCCATGACAACAGCGTGCGATGGGGCGGGCGGGCGCGGCGGGGCAGACTGGGGTCCCCGCCGGCGGCCAACGCGGACCCCGCCGGCTGCCGCGTCCCCGCCGCCGCGGCCGAGAGCAGCCCACGCCCCGCTGCAGCCGGCGGAGCCACCGCCGCCTCCTGGCGCTGCCGCTTCCTCTCGGCCGCCAGCGGGCGGCCCCAGCGCTCGGCTCCCCGCCCCGCGGCCGCCGTGGGGCTGCGGTGGGTCCCGGTGGGTCCACCCTGCGCGGTCCGGGCCCCGCGGCTGAGGGGGCGGTGGTGGGGACCTCGTTGGGACCGCGCTCCGTGAAGGAGTACCCTATGCGTGACGGCTGGCACTGGACAGTGAGGGCTTCTTGCTAAATAATGCGATTTTAAGTACTTGTCACTCTTCTGTTGACAAGGGGTGGTCATTCCAGGCTGGGAGACGCTCACTCCCTCTGAACGCGGGTAAGTGTACAAGGAAGTTGACACAATCACAGAATCAATAAGGTTGGAAAAGATGTCTGAGATCGAGTCCAGCCTATGACCCAACACCACCATGTCAACTAAACCATGGCACTAAGTGCCACATCCAGCCTTTCCTTAAACGCCTCCAGGAATGGTGATTCCACCACCCCCCTGGGCAGCCCGTTTCAATATCTAACCATCCTTTCTGTGAAGAAACTCTTCCTAATGTCCACTTAAGCCTCCCCTGGTGCAGTTTAAGACTAAGTCTTCTTGTCCTATCAATAGTTGCCTGGGAGAAGAGGCCAACCCCCATGGATTTAGCTGGATTTGAGGGGATGCATGAAATGATTGCTGAAGTCTTACAAAAGGGAAATCCTGTTCCTCCACAAGCAGCTACCTGAGTCGTACCTGGGAAAAGATACAGGGCAGCAAATCTGGGCTCTGAGTCCAGTCCCTCAACAACAGGGGAGTTGGGAAGCAGCCACTGAACCCGCCAGGCCCGGAGCAGGACAAGCTGTCACAGGAAAGACATTTCCACAAAATAAAGTAACCACATATAAACCATATAAACAAATATAGAACTTAGGAAAAGTGTGCAGTATGCAGTCAGATAAATATGGGAAACAAATATGGGAAATAAACAGTGAGCAGTTGCCAAGCCTTGGGTGATTCTGAAGTACGTACTGTGCTAGACAGATTCCCTCAGATCCAGCAGAATTCTTTTCATTAGGATTGGCCGAAAAAAAATGAACAGAAAAAATGTTGTTTGTTTTGTTTTTTTTTTAACCGAACAGGTAAACAATAATAATGAACGATCTGAGTTCTGAACACACAAAAAGTTCCGTTTTCATTTCACCAACCTTCTATTTCCCTGTCATTCAAGAAACACTACTCTAGAAGTTCTGAAAATCATTGAATTTGATTATTCATTTAATAATAGATGAAAAAAATAACAGTGTGTGGGGGGAAAAACAGTGAAATATTTGAAACAAAAAACAGGAAGTCTATCCACTCAAGCAATGTTTTATTTTGAAATATTACCTGAGAAACAGAAGAATTTAGAGTATCAAGCAAACACAATGTAATGTGCATCCAAAATTTGAGTTCAGGTATTCCTCTATTACTATATGTTCAATGTATTGATATTGATATGTTCATTTCCATCCAACCAATGTCTTTACTATCTGCCAATATATAATCTATATTTTTTTCTATTCAAGTCTGCCTGTTAATCACTTTCTCAGCATTGTTTTTAAATTATAAAAACACTATATTAAAGTGCTTAGGTTTATTCTCTCAGGGATAGAGGGAGAAAAGGTATCCCTTAAACTCCCAGGTATACAGATGGGTGGTTACTGGGTTATGTTTTTCTTAAAAAAAAAAAAAAAAAAGGCAACAAAACCAAACTAAAATAACAACAAAAATCCAAACAAACCAGCCACCCTAATTCTGGTTGTAGTATGGGTTATTTTAATCCATAAATGAAAAATTCCCATTGATGCATAATTTTTGTCTCATGTATCATTCAAAAAGCCAAGAACTTTCAAAGCCTTCATACTGTGAACAAACTTTATTGTTTGTTAAAATATTTCTGTTAGTGCTTAGCTTTCTTTGTCCTCATTTCACATGCATTTTACACTTTAAGGAGCAATTTAAATATTTTTTAACACCTCTAACTGAAAACACTCACTAGAACGCTGGTAATTTACTCATAAGTTAGAATAAGGTGAATGAGGAGGAATGGCGACTTTCTATTCAATTTAGAAAATAAGTTTAAATTGGATAGATGTAATTTACACAGGTATAATTTAGATGAGATAGTTCTTCCTTTAATGATTCCTGACTTTATTTGCCAGGCTCAGTGTACATAGAAGGAGAACTTTGTGCCATGGGTCAGACCTGGCATGCACATACAATTTTGCTGCTAAGCTTCGTTCGTGGTAGATCTCCTTCAGCATTACAGCATTACTCCATGTTCTGGAGTTGGAGCTGCTGTCCTCAGTCAAAGGCACAAGGCAGTCACAAGGACTGGAAACATGTAAGAAGATAAAATGGCTACTATAGTATAAAGTCAGCTATTATAGAGAGCTGGTATTTAAACATTTTCAATCAGAGGAATAGTAGGGCATTCTCATATGATATTTTCCCTTTAGAGTTTTTATATGTTTATAAGAGTGTAATTAATTTTTCACAAGTATATATAGCAAGGAATATAAGCACCAATGATGGAAGAAAAATTAAATTACCTTTAATCTATAAGTTTCATGAGGAAAATATTCATGTGTTCATAAGGAACATACTATTTATGGGGCAACCTTTGGAAGCCAACCCAGCCACTGTCCAAGCTGTGTTGCATTTGTGGAACAGTAGAAGCCTTCTATTCTGACTGCCAGCAATACAAATGCCATAGGATTACCATGTTCTCTTTTAGCACCTCTGCACTAAATGCATGCTACTTGAAATCATTATTTTTAGGGAGATAAATTTATTTTGGAAGTGGAAATTATATTTTATTATGAAAGTTACAGGAACAAGGGAGTCTCTGTGGCGCAATTGGTAAGCGCGTTCGGCTGTTAACCGAAAGGTTGGTGGTTCAAGCCCACCCAGGGACGTGTTCTTCCCTTTCCTCTGCCATGGCAGGGGCTTGGAATCACATGACCTTAAGATCCCTTTCCAATCCTAACTATTCTGTGAAATTTTGGAAATTTATAATTCTTTGTTAGCCTCGGGTTCATTGAAACCCTAGTTTGCTGAAGTATCAGCAGTGGATTAACGGACTAAAATATTTCCATGTGTCATTATTCTAAACTGAAATTGCATAGAAATGGTTTCATTTAAGAAGAATATTGCAGTGTTCCTTGTTCTGTCATATTTGTTTTTCTGTATGGTGCTCTGTTGTGTTGCTGTGAGCTCTAAAGTGTATGTGTTATTTTATTATGTTGAAATGTAAACATATGTATACAAAATATCAACGTGGACTACTGTGCCCCTCAGGCTTAGCAAAGATTTGTCATTTAGGAATTAACAGATAACTGAGTAATTGTGTCACTTCCAGGAATTTTGTGTAATAGCCTGGTGAGTTGGAATCTAGAGGACAACTGTTATTGTTTGCTTCTAGCTTTAAATGTCCTGTGCATGGCACACTTTAATAATTACTCACATGATAGTCATATGGATCTTAATTCTTTCGTGTGATGTTTTTGCTTATGCTTTAAAAACACTTGTACTGAGATAGTACGAGTGTAGTCATATACTACTAGTATATGACTTTCTCTAAAGCCTAAACCCAGAACAAATCCATATGCAGTGAAACCACTGAAGCCCATTATCCTTCAGCAGCTCTCTTGTGGACTCTTCGCAGGAACTTCAGTGATAGGACAAGTAGTAATGGGTACAAACTGAAAGAGAGGAAATATAGATTAGACATTAGGAAGAAATTTTTTACTGTGAGGATGGTTAGACCCTGGACAGGTTGCCCAGGGAAGTTGTGGATGCCCTGACACTTTGAGCACTGTCCCCCACAGAATGTTCAAAGCCAGATTGGACGAGGCCTTGAGCAACCTGGTCTAGTGTGCATGGCAGGGGGTTTGGAATTAGATAATCTTTAAGTCCATTGCAACCCCTAAACATTCTGTGATGCTGTGATTCTATTCTATGAGGCAGCCCTTCTCTCACAGAGCTCTCTCTCCACAGTCCTGTTTTCATGGTATGTGCAAGAATTCAGTCTTTCTGAGATGTCTTCCTTTCTTAGTGCTGGAGCATAAGTATCTAAATACTCGGAAAGAGGCAATCAAAATGCTGCTTTCAAAGCTGAAGGCAAAAACTCCAGCATTCAATCAACTTGGGAGCAGGAAGCTGACAATTACATGGTGAAGAGATGAGCTGATAGCCAAGAAAAAATTCTGGCCTTGATCTAGGTGCAATAGAACTGCTAATAAAACCAGATGAGATCTTTGATATTGTCTGTTGGCTT